CCCCAAAACCCCAAAACCCCACGTGCCTAATTTCATCGATATTATTCGTATTAATTAGGATGAGTATAGATTAAAAATATCTACTTTATATATAATTTACTTTATTCACTGTATAAGTAAATTAAGCCCATTTGTATTCTAAATCAAGTTGCGGTTAGTTGAAAAAGATTCATTTAATTGAATAAATTACTATGGAGCTTTTAGCTTCTTCTGCTTTTATAATATATCTTTCAATTTAGACACTGTTTTACCGTCCTATTTACTACTTTATTTTAGTCTCTATTATTTATGTTTTTTGAAACTTAAGATGGCAGATAGTATATATCTAAACTAAGGTTATGATAAGCTGAGAAATTCTCCGATCTTTCTACCTCATAAATTTCTTTATAGTTCTTTCAAGATTATTACAATTTTCGATTTATTCACAATCATTTTTTATCTGAATATTCTCTGGCAATAGCTTAATACCAGATATTGAATTGTATTTCATATACTTAATCATTTTATATTGACGATCACTAAGCAGCAATTTGCTTATTTGCTTTAACTTTTAGATTGCTTAGATAATATTTCTTACATCAAGAATTTTATTCAATTTTCTAGTTCCTTAATCATAGTAATTTAAATCTCTACTGTAAGTCTTAGTGATTCTCTTCAACCAAAAATGGCAAATGTCTCTAACTCCTCCAAATCTCCTATTGTGTATCTTTGAAATTATCTCCTCTTTAATAGATTAAATCTCTATGATTTTCTTTGTTCAACTACTCTGATTTTTACTTAAATCTTTACCCAATATTTAATAAATGTCCTAATTTAAGATATTTTTTGGCTGATAATTCTCAAAATGCATAATATCAGTTATAAGCTGCCAATACAGCACCCGCTTAGAAAACACTTTTGCGATAAGTTTTGTAAGCAATGCAAGTACATTAATAAAACCACCTAATGTTGTAATAATATCAACTAAATTACTTGCAAATCTTTCGATAACTATTTCTTCTGTATGGCAAAATATCAAGACATTAAACATTTCCCAAGTACCTGGTTTAATGGTACCCTAGATTGATCGAATGAATTCTACTGAAAGGTATTCATATGTTTAAACATCAAACAGATAAGATAACCAACTGTTATAACTGTAAAGATAATTCTTTTGTAAATTTAGATATGCATTGTAAGCCTATCCCTCAATAGCATTGTAATACTGAATGACAACTTCTGACTTTACTGGCTAATTATATATATCCTCTTCAAAATTACTATTAACAAAAGCAATCATCAACTATATTTTACTAATGAAATCAGATATTTAATTTTAAGAAGCACATTTAGAACCTAACGAATTATTTGAATCATTTTGGCAAGGCGAAACACTTAATTTAAGTAAATTTCTTAATAGACTCATTTCTTAGCCTTATATAGTTAAATCAAGTTCTTTAATGCAAAACCAACCATTCTTGTTAAGTCCTATGATATTAGTTTCAGCAGTTTTATTCAAAAACCTGCCATTTCTACAATTTTCATAACCAATATATTATTCTTAACTTATTGTATCGAAAGTTCCATCTGTTTTATTTTAAACGAATGTGATATTCTGAGAAATAAAGCTGATATTTAAAAATCTCTTAATATCATAACCTGCATAAAAATTTTCATCCTCATTCCTTTCAAACTTAATTCCAAATGCTAAATCGAAGTTATTGAGATCTATGTGATACTGCTAGTTATTATAGGTTGCGCTCTTGTATACACTTTTTATTCTGATATTTTTATCTTTTGAGATAACTCTGTTTAACAAAATGAAGAAAAAAGTAATGACTCCAAATATCTAGAGTAGAGTAATAACACCACCAATCACAGTTTAATGCTAATGTTATCCCTTGTAATTTAGTGCAATTGGTTCTCCATGTTTATCAAGTCTTTTTATGAACCTCTAAATTCTTCTAAAAAACATACTGAATCTTAAAATCTGATTAATTTAATTATTAAAAATCATTTATATCACATTTTCTATAAATTTTCCAAAAAGTGGGGTTTTGGGGTTTTGGGG